ACAGCCCTCATTTTGGGGGTCTGTCACAATTTTTGGCCATTTCACAGCGCTAGGATGGCAAAAATAGGGCCAATTTTACAGCTAGAGAGAGTAGGCAGTTGCCTATATAATCAGATGCACCCAAGTAATACAATAAAATACAAACTTAAAACATCCCCACCAGTTCACTGTGACTGAAACCTCAGGCCAACCTCTTCACTCCACCACAGAGATGCAGGAGTCTGTGTCCTGGGAAAAACTTCCACACACTAAAGGCCATACCGAGGGGCAACTACTGATGTCAGGCATGTCCCTGAAAGCAAGCTTGATTATGGGAGAAAGAAAAGACATGGGGCCCCTGACGCAGGTGTAAGTCCCCACAGAGGGGGTGAAGCAGGTGTAAGGTCCAACAGAGGGGGTGAAGCAGGTGGTTATGCACTATTTTGCTTGGAGCTCAGTCAGTGTGTGTGCCCACCAAGGCAGGGGAGTAAGAATTTAGGGAAGTTAGTTCAACCACTGTGGAAGACAGCGTGGAAATTCCTCAAGGATTTAGAACCAGAAATACCATTTGACCCAGCAATCCCATTACTGGGTATATACCCAAAGGAATATAAATCATTCTATTATAAATATACATGCACATGTATGTTTATTGCAGCACTGTTCACAATAGCAAAGACATGGCACCAACCCAAATGCCCATCAGTGATAGACTGGATAAAGAAAATGTGGTGCATACACACCATGGAATACTATGCAGTCATAAAAAGGAATGAGGTCATGTCCTTTGCAGGAACATAGATGAAGCTAGAAGCTATTATCCTCAGCAAACTAACACAGGAACAGAAAACCAAACACCACATGTTCTCACTCATAAATGGGAGTTGAACAGTGAGAACACATGGACACAGGGAGGGGAACAACACACACTGAGCCTGGGGGGTGTGGGGGCAAGGGGAGGAAGAACATCAAGACAAATAGCTAATGCGTGTGGGGCTTAAAACCTAGGTGATGGGTTGATAGGTGCAGAAAACCACCATGGCACACGTATACCTATGTAACAAACCTGCACGTTCTGCACATGTATCCTGGAACTTAAAGTAAAATTAAAAAAAAAAAAAGAAGAAGAATTTAGGGAAGTACTTTAACCTTCCTCCAGTCATTAAGACAAGATCGAAATCCTAACCCACCTTCCCCACCCTCTCAGCATTCACCATATTTAAACAGACAACTCTGGAGACAGATAAAATCTACTGGAGTCTTATGCTGGTAATTCCTTAAACTGAAGACTTGAAGGCAAGTCCTTTCTCATGGAGGAATTTCACTTTCCTGGTCCAACAGAGATACAACCCAAAGGGCAAACTTCCCAGTTGGGCATAATTCTTTGGGTGAAATGTTTAAAAGAGTCCTGACAACATAGAGCAGCAATTTCCATGCAAATGTGTGCCTGTGGGGTAAAATGCAATTGGCCCAACAATCTTGTACTGATGGTGCACCCTCTTCCCACTCCGCTGGGGTGTGGAAACATGACTTTAAGAAATCTATTTGTGCCGGGCGCGGTGGCTCAAGCCTGTAATCCCAGCACTTTGGGAGGCCGAGACGGGCGGATCACAAGGTCATGAGATCAAGACCATCCTGGCTAACCCGGTGAAACCCCGTCTCTACTATAAAATACAAAAAACTAGCCGGGCGAGGTGGCGGGCGCCTGTAGTCCCAGCTACTCGGGAGGCTGAGGCAGGAGAATGGCGTGAACCTGGGAGGCGGAGCTTGTAGTGAGCTGAGATCCGGCCACTGCACTCCAGCCTGGGCGACAGAGCGAGACTCCGTCTCAAAAAAAAAACAAAAACAAAAGAAATCTATTTGTACAGCTTTTCTCCCTCTGAGCATGCCAAACGTAAATGACTTCTGTGTTTCAAAAGAGCGCTCCCTCCACACTGCTGCTCCGTGTCAAGGACCGCGTGGAAATAAGAAGCTGTAGTCCCCCCTTCCCACTGAAGCTACGGGAACAAAGGCAGTGTTTTTTTCAGAAAGAAAGAAAGATATGGCAGGACATTCGTGTTTTTTGAAACAAAAAAGTCTGATTTACAATGTGGGACTTACAAAGAAAAATAATAGTAATAATCTACTGAACTTGGTGAATTCCCCATGATCACAGTGCTTCAACCCACCCACCCACCCACCTCAACTCCAATGGTCGCGGGCCACCTGGGACTGTGGTGGATGTAGTAGTGGAAAGAGCTCGGGACCAGGAGATTGTCCTGGTCTCTGCCGCTTAATTCATGAATTTAAGATGAATTGGGGCAAACTGAAATAAGCATGATAGGGTTGAACTAGCTCAGGGGCCTTCAAACAGGGGTACGGGTACACATGCCTTACCACATTAAGACTTTGCAAGTAGTACATGGGCAGAATCAATTGCCAAATGTTCCATTTCAGCAAATTTCTTTCCCTGAAGTTAATCTGCCTAAGATTGTGCCACAAATACTTTTTCCCCAATATTCCTTTTCCTTCTTTGCCAAATAATAATAATAATAACAATAATAATAATAATATCCACTTCAGTCTTCAGCCACCACAGTCTTACTGAGGCACCACCTCCATGGCTTCTTCTTGAGGGAGAGTCCTCAGAGAATAAAGCAAGGGGGCTTTAGAAGGAAATATTGATATTGAAGAGAGGCAAAAAAGTCATGACAACCCTCTGCACCAACATCCTTCCTTTCTTCTTCCTTCCCTGTCTCCCTTGTTCCCTATTTTCATTTCTTAGAACTAGAATTTAGACGCGAGAAGGCTCCAAAAGGCCACATTCTAATACATTTATTTGAGTTTAAAAAATGAAATAAGATTTTTTTCTGACAAAGTGAGTCTAAATTGGCAGAATGGCTTGACAGTAAGTTCTGGCTTTGCCAATTAATTTATATGATGGACACTCTCCATGAATTTAATGAGCTAAAGCAGCAGCTCCAATGTTCAGATGAAAATATACTTTAATCATGGATATATCTAAAGGATACATCATCTAACGTATACTTTGCAACTATTTAAATTTATGACAAAAAATATTTAAATGTCAACTTGGAAAGACTCTTTCAAAATTATTTTATGGAATACATGAGAAAAGTCTGAAGTCACGAGTTTAGTTAATTCTTGTCAAGTCAAACTGCCTGTGAAATTCCTTGGTTTTCTTTTCTTTCTCCCTCTCCCTGCATCCAGCCCTATCTCCCACTCTCCTAACCTCCCAAACATCTCAACCATCTTACAGAGGAGGGGGCTACAACAAACAGGCTGAACATCTCAACTTATTCAGAAAAAAATAAGGAACTGGTTTTGTTCCCATTTCCCTCAATGGATTAATTTAGTATTTCCTTCAAACATGTAAGAAATAAATATGTTATTCAAGGTCAGACAGAGTAACAACCTTTCTTCTTAACTTTCCGTTCGTAATGAATACCATTAATACAATTCTTTTTTTTGGCCACAATCACCACTCCTGGGTATGAAAACGAGAAGGGAAAAGCACTTAAGAATAGATATCAATATACAGATATCTCCCTTTCCATTTGCTTGAGTAATGGAAGGCCACAGTAGTAATTATTTCAGTTTTTACCAGCAACCCTCAGAAAAGGAGATAAACTCCCCAGTGACTCTTGGTAGCTACACTACCCAGCTGGTTCTTGCTCTAGACAAGTGTTTTAATTTTGTGCATGGCCCCCTTGGTAGTCTGGGGAATCCTATGAACCCCTTCTCAGAGTATGTAAAACAAATGAATAGGATTGCAAAAGGAGCTAATTATCTTTATATACTTTTATCAAAATATTTTCTAAAACATCCTAGTGCATAGTAATGCATGTGCTTTTTCAGTAACATTAAATAGCAAGTGTCAGTGGCAGGAGTAACAACTATCACAATTTTAAAGTAGTGATTGGTATAAATGATACTTTGAAATATCTGCAACCATTGTAATGTTATATGAATGTATCTATAATTTGGTGACAAATTCACAAATATTGCTGATATTACTGTGGCTTGTTGCTTGTATACTTTATAAAAAGAGATGTTAAATTTCAGTTGAAGTTCAGTGAAAATAAAGACAAGTTATTTTCCCATCCAAGTTCATGGATACTCAGGACAAATTGTGATGGAGGCAATATTTAGAAGGCCTTTCCCTTTGGCCCCTTTACTCTTCTGGCTGTCCCTTCCTTCCCAAGGTACGCACCCTGCAGTAGCTTCAGTTACTGTTACCTGTCGTGATGGCTCATGAGTAATAATCACCATTCCTTGACTGGCTACCATTTTGCATATATCATTTGTACACTTTACAACAACCCTCCAAAGCATTTTATGAATGGAGCAATTAAAGCTCAGAGAGGTTAAATAACTTGTTCAGGGCAACAAAGTAGAAGATTTAGGGGTTTAAACTCAGGTCTCTGTAGCTTAAAGCTTACTCCCATTTCCACTGCACTACACTGCCTCCTAGTATAGAGGAATCTTTGGATTTTTTTTTTTTTTTTGTCGTTTTGTTTGTTTGTTTTTGAGACAATTTTGCTCTGTCACCCAGGCTGGAATCCAGCAGCATGATCATGACTCACTGCAGCCTTGACCTCCTGGGCTCAAGCAATTCTCCCACCTCAGCCCTCAAAGTAGCTGGGACCACAGGCATGTGCCACCACACCTGGCTACTTTTTTTGGAGAGATGTGGGTCTCACTATGTTGCCCAGGCTGGTCTCAAGCTCCTGGGCTCAAGTGATCCTCCCATTTGGGCCTCCCCAAATGCTGGCATTACAGGCATGAGCCACCTCATCTGGCAAAATCTTGGATTTTAGTAGAGAGTTTCTAAAAACCAAGTACTTCTCACAAATCAATTTCTAATGGAATTTCAGGGATCAGCAGAGGTAAAGCTACTTGGAGATGAGGAGTCCATCCTTCCATCTTTCTATACAAGTGACCGTTCTCCTCACCCACCACCCCACTGCTGCAGAGAGGGAAAGAGCTGGGCCAAACCGCAGAAATGTACCCTTCACCTTTTTGAGGCCTGCATGAGTTATAGGACATGTGGACAAACAGAACCCTTTTATATTTTAGTGGGGGCAAAGGGAAACTGAGGAAGGACATTTATTGCCTGACTGCCATTCCTGGAAGGTTTTAGATGCATTCTTAAAATGTTTTAATTACTCCCAACACAGTAAAGAAACTATTATCCCTACTTTTTAGAGCAGGAACTGATGCCAAAAAAAGATTAAAGAAAATGAAATGTAAGGAATCTCCCTAACCCTATAGTTTCACAATAGCTTTCTGTTGTTATAAGCAGATTTCACAAATCCTAGAAGGAAGCAAGCACTGGCTGAAGGAAGAAGAGTATCAAAAACACTCTTTTACAATCTAAGTTTGCAAACAACTTGATAGCAACGTCCTTGCACTATTACTAGAATGTAACCTCCCCAAAGTAAGAGACCATGTGCCTGGCATGTCTATACTCCACAAAGGAGATTCACAGTGATTGTTTAGTTGAACTAAGGCAGCGCTGGCCCATGAACCTTCTGTGTAACTCTTGAGAGCATCCCAGGCATTTCTCTGCCAATAGAGGACACAAAGTTTCTAGCAAGTTGGTTTCCAAAGTCATAAACTTTCTGGACAATGCTGTATTCATTAATCATTGAAATGGGATCCATCTTTATCTCATCCCTTTCACCTCTCCTACCAAGTTTCTTGGCATTTTAAAACAGATCTGGTAAGTACTGTACCCACCACAACCACTGGATGACATCCCTCATCTGGCTTTTTACTAAGATTTGTCAAGGTCAAATATGTGGTATTCTATTGAGTGCATTCGAAGATTAAGATAGATGACAGTAGATTTACTCTAACATCTTTTATACTACAAACATTATTTGTATAATTCTGCACTAGTCTCAAGCTAAATTTTCTCCAGTCTTCCTTATCTACTGTTAATTCTAAGAAGCCATTTTTCAACAAATATTTATAAGCCCCTACTATGAGATCTGTACTATTCTAAGTACAAGGAGTAGGGAAGAAGTTAATGCATTCATCTGATTACAATACAATGTGATAAGTGTTAAACAGCAGTATAAATGCAAATCAATGAATGAATGGAGAAGTTATACATTTACACAGTACTTCATATTTTTAAAATTGCTTTCATACAGACTAGCGTTCCTCAAGGCCACATCTCCTTCCCTATGTGGTAGGTAGGAAAGATATTATGACCAAACATTATCAAGGTTGCAAGATTTGCCCAAGTTCTGATAGTGTATCAGTAAGAGAACTAAAGCTAGAGTCCAAACCACAAAGATCTAGCCCAGTACTTGAGTCTCTACTTTCACGACTCATTCCTTTCCCAGGCAGACTACTTTCCCATATAGCCAATGTCATTCAATAATACTGTATATTAAGATATTCTGAAATCTCACAATCCCACTTATGAAGGAAACCCTTGAAGTTCTACATCTCACTCCAAAGTTCCACATGCAATTGTTCCACCAGACCAATAAGTGGGAATGATTCATAAACTATGACTTCTATCCTTAGGGGTTCCACTTATCTATTGCTATGGAACAAATTATTCTAAAACCCAATGGTTCAACACAACTACCATTTTATTATGTTATATGATGTTACCTGTCAGGAATCTGGACTAGGCTCAGCTGAGGAGCCCACATCGTTCCACAAAATGTTGATGGTGATCACTCTGCTGTATGCAGCTGGCAGATGGCCAAGGGCCTCAATCACATATCTGACACCTTGTAGGGAAGACAGATTGTTGTAAAGTTGGACTTAGCCAGAATAATCACCACAGCATTTCTATGCAGCCCTTCTAGTATGGCAGCCTTAGGGTAATCGGACTTCTTACCTGGAGTGTCAGTGCTGAAGAGTGGTAAGGCATGGTCTTGTGATCCAGCCTCAGTGACATAGCCTCATGGCATCGCTTCCATCATACTTTTTTGGGCAAAGCAGTCACAAGTCTGCCCAGATTTAAAAAGAGAAGACATAGAGCTCTATCTCTCCATGAGAAGAGTGTCAAAGAATTCACAGCCATTTTATGTGCTTCTTATATTAATTTATAATTCCTCTTCTTGACCAACAGTGGCCAAGAGAGTTGCCTCTATTCCAGTCCTATCCATTTCCTCTTCTTATGTTAACCAAGTTTGCTAGCCCTCTTCTGCCTATTCCACACATCCTACATGTTCTTGTCTCCTGCAGAGTCATGCTGAATGTTTGCTTCCTGTATTAGCACCTATATTACACAAGGTTCTCAGTCTTTGTCTATGGCTGCATGAGGTATACACTAAGGTATTGAGTCTTTATTAATTTTTTAAAGGTGTTATTGTTGTTTGTTTAGTGCCAAGAATGGCTGCTGTCTCCATTGGCACTGCTATTGCACTGTTCAGTTCCTGAGGTATTCTGCAGCTTCCTTATGTACATATCAGCTCTGCATGATCTTTGCCAACTTAAAATTGAGCTCTCAGAGTAGGGTCTTTACTTGCATTAATAGAATTTTTTGCTCCCAACAGTATACTTGGGACAAAACTGCAAAATAGATAAGAATACAAGCTCTGGAGTTAAAAAGATCTGGGTTTTTAATTACAGCTCCACCATTTACTGTGAGATCTTGTCCAAGTTACTTAATAGCTCTAAACCTTAGTGTCCTCATCTGTAAAATAGAGACAAAGGTATACACTTCATGGAGTTGTCAAAAGGATAAAGAGCATTGCATAGACAAAGCCATTATCACATTGCCTGGTACTTGGTAAATACCTACTAAGTGGTAACTATAGTAATAGTAGCACTACTGGTAGTATCAATGGTGATTAACAATATCTGACTGATAAAGGACTATGATCGTTTAAAGTACTGATAAAGATGCAAATGGACTTTTACACCTTCAATCTTCTCTCTATAGATACCTAAACTGAACTTAAGTAAAAATGTAGATATGCATACAAGTATACACATACCTGCATGTGTCAAGTTAAAAATATTTATATTTTATTTTATCTAATAAAATACTTTTATTTTATACAGATATGTCAAGTTAAAATATTTATATTTCCCCTTTTCACCAGGTATATTTTATTTATATTTCTTAAATGTCCATGTAGGTGTTTTCTGTCAGTCATTCATACCAGCATTTTAAGTAATTTTTACTAAGAGAATCTACCTGTCTTAGAAAAATATTCAGATGCAATTGTTAGGTTCAGCTGCACCTAAAGAATACAGCAGGATGAAAATGTCTCTAGAGCATCATAAAGAAACATTTCAATATTTAAGATGGCTGGATTGACTCCAAGGACTGAGGGACTCCAAAGACTGAGTCTGTCTATCACCAGCTCAGCCTCAGAAATACAGTTCTTGGCTCCAGTTTGCAGTTCAATGTCTGTGAACAGTGCAAATACAAGCTGAATAAATCTTAAAGATACTGAACTAAGTTATTTCTCAACACAAGAACACAAGGGACAAGACAATCTTGATTAGTCAATATCTGAGCTAGTATTTCATCTTGGACTAGCTGATGTGAAGGTTAATGTTATTGACTCCCTCTTTGAATCATCTTTGGAGAAAAGCAATATTCTGCTTTGAATTGGTTATTATCGCAACACATTCCCCATATATAAGATCTGTCAATATTCCTTCATCTGGGAGATTCTTAAGGTCTAAGGTTTTACTGGTCATGACGTGAAGTAATCTACATCACAATTCACATGCAATTCACTTCACTTACACAGTTCAACCTTTCTGAACAAGTACAAATCTTCCCAACAGGGACTATATTTACCTGTCATTCATCCACAGCTGTGCAGAGGAAACAGAGTGGAGAATAGAGTTCAGGGCATTTTAGAAGCTCGGAAAATTTGTTTCTCAAATAACCAGTGAAGGATTGGTGTAAACATTGAAAGTTCCTAGCTTTGATGCAAGTACAGTATGCCAGTTCTCTAGGGCTGCTATAACAAAATATCACAAGCTGGGTGGCTTAAACAAGAGATTATTTTCTCAGCTCTGGAGGCTAGAAGTCCAAAGTCAAAGTATTGGCAGAGTTGGTTCCTTCTAAGGATTATGAAGAAGAATTTATTCCATGCCTCTCTCCTAGCTTCTGGTGGCTCCAGGCATTCCTCAGCTTGTGACAGAAAAACTCCAATCTCTGTCTCCATTTCCACATGGCTATGCTTTCCGTGTGTGTTCATCCCATCTTCCTTCCATGCATGTCTGTCTCTGTGTCCAAAGTTCCTTTTTGTATAACGTTTATATAAGGTTACCAGTCCGTTAGAGTAGGCCCATCCCAATGACCTCATTTTCACTCTTACCTCTGTAAACATGCTATTTTCAAATTCTTTAAGATCATGTTCTGAGATACGGGGCGGGGCGGGGGGGGGTGGTGGGTAGAGCTTCAACGTATCTTTTTCTTTGCATACTTACAGGATGCAAAACCCTTGAGCCAAACAGAGTAAGGAAATGACACAGTCACCTTCCAGCAATGTAGGTCCAGGAAAAATATCAAAGTAATACAAAAGATTCAGTTCTATCCTTCCAAAATTATCTTTTCATTGTTTAATCTCCTTTTCTGAAAGCTACCGTTAAGATAATTTCAGTTTCAATCCTTGTGATTTAAACTTTTTTTCCCCCCAGATCTGTTCTGGGAAATCTAGCTCCCAAGTAGTTTCTTCTGTTAGGTACAAGATTCTCCCAAGTTTTCTATGCCTTTTACTTCTTTAGCAAGAGGGTTTGGTATAAATTGCAACCAACTCCTCTGCATTTTATTTTGCAGAGAGAAATAGATGTACATGTTAATTATTACTGGACATGAGTTAGTTATAAATTGATGAAATGTCTTCCAAACATTAGAAAACTGACCTCATCATTCTCAGAAGAATGTTTTTCCTCTCTTCACCTCTGTCCTTCAGCTTAGAACCAACACCAACCAGGAAGGGTTTAATGAAGAACCTACAGTATTTATGATGTTCCTAGGCCACAAATATTGCCTGTGCCAAGGATTAGGCTCCTGGAAACAGACTTTCAGCTTCTCTCAAGTATGCTTCAAGGAAGAACACTATGAATCCGGGACTACCTCGTTCCTTTACCAAAAGTTCATGTTTTAAGCCCTTGAACCTCCTAAAGGACTAGGTGGCCACTACCATATTAGAAATGAGACAAAAGAGACTAATTAAAAGAAAACATATTTGAATCCAACTTTGGACTTAGTGAGATTTGGAGATTGTACTCCACAGCAGAAGCAATAACGTGAAAAGTAAAGCCAATGTAAGAAATGCTTAGGTTACCTTTGTAACTGCATCTTCCCCCAGATTGTGTGTGAGTTTTGCATATTCCGAAGTCAGAAGAAGAATCATGGCTCAAGAGACATATAAAGAAATACTAGAGACCAGGCGCAGTGGCTCACACCTGTAATCCCAGCACTTTGGGAGGTTGAGGCGGGCAGATCACAAGGTCAAGGAGATCGAGACCATCCTGGCTAACATGGTGAAACCCCGTCTCTACTAAAAATACAAAAAAATAAAAAATAAAAAATAACTGGATGTGGTGGCGCACACCTGTAGTCCCACCTACTCAGGAGGCTGAGGCGGGAGAACCGCCTGAACCTGGGAGACGGAGGTTGCAGAGAACCAAGATCATGTCACTGCACTCCAGCCTGGGTGACAGAGCGAGATTCTGTCTCAAAAAACATCTATAAATAAATAAATAAACAAATACTAGAGAGAAATTCCCAGTCTCTAGAACTTAAAAGTCAGAGGTACAGAATTATAACAAATTCTAACAAATTTGAAAATGAAATGCCAAAATCAAAGGACCATTTAGTGGCATCATATTTTTACCTGAATAATTGACATCACAGAAAATCAAGTTGTGGAAGGTACATCTGCAGTAACAACAGCTCCAGATTTACGTACAACATACGGATTTCTAGATCTTTATAAAGGTGCCAACTGTGCTAGATGAAAGAAAAAGTATTAGAATCATCTTCCCTAAACATGACTGATAAATTCCAGAGATAAAAGTCATTTAGCTTAATGGTTGTTTGGTTGGTTGTGCTACAGAGTACTGGTTTTACATATTTTTATTTCAAGTGAAATTGTAGCTTTGTAATACATACATTTTATGACATCTCATAACATTGATGTGTCATAACTAGAATAATTGTGTTGCACGATCTTACAACTAGGACAGCCCTTAACGATTATCTATCTTTTTTTTTTGAGTTGGAGTTTCACTCTTGTTGTCCAGGTCAGAGTGCAATGATGCGAGCTTGGCTCACTGCAACCTCCGCTTCCTGGGTTCAAACGATTCTCCTGCCTCAGCCTCCTGATTTTCTCATCACTAGGAACTACTCCTGGGATTACAGGCATGTGCCACCACACCCGACTAATTTTGTACTTTTAGTAGAGACGGGCTTTCTCCATGTTGATCAGCCTGGTCTCGAACTCCCGACCTCAGGTAATCCACCCGCCTTGGCCTCCCAAAGTGCTGGGATTACAGGAGTGAGCCACCACACCCGGCCTAACGATTATCTATCTTTTCAATGTGGATTTTACGTACATGATTGCTATGTCTCACTTGAGCTTCCAACGACTCTGTAAGGGAGATAGAATGTTATTCACTTGAAAACTACAGAGGTCCAGAGTGGACGTGAGACTTGCCCAAACTCACCCAGAGGACAGGGCCACACCTGGGCACCCCATGCCCTTTCCATCCTCTTTTCATTTTGATTTCACATCCACCCCACTTCCAAACACTGTGCTCAAACATTTCAGTGCCTGAGTCACAGTTCCTCTCTCTCTCCTGTCTTTAACCATTACCCAAAATAACAGCATGTGACCACAGAATCTGCCAACAGCTCTTTCAACTCCATTGCATGTTCGCCACAACTTTTATTTTCTCACCACTAGGAACTGCTCCCCTCCAAGATCTCTAGTCACTCTCCCTTTCTGAAACAATCTCCTCACTTTCTTCTCCTGCGCCCAGTGTATCTGCTCAAGCTGCCTTTTGCCACAGTCAGTAAAAAAAATACTGATTGAGAACCTAAGAAATAGATGGAAGACCAGCCAGACATGGACACAGGCAACACTGAGTTTTACCCACTCAGCCTAGCCCACCCCTCAACCACGTGGTCTCTCCCCATATGCCAGTCCATATCTGCTCAAAAGGCCTCAATTGTCTCCCTAGCAATGGATGGTCATTTCAACATTACCCCCTGCAGCATCCTACAATCCCTCAATTCCTTAATCTTCCATCATTCCAATCCTTAAATCTGGATTATTTCATATTTCTCATTCTCTACTCCCAGACGACGTTGCTGCTGGGTAAGATCATAAAACTATTATGACTAGATCCACCACAAATTCAAATTGTCCAACTTGGTCTAAGACCTTTTACTCTGCAAAACCCAAAGAGAACCAAAGAATGGGTAGATGTTTTAAAGATGCAGATTTTGGTTTGAAATAAGATGCAAACATATAACCACTTTAGCTAACCAGCAACCGAAAAATAATGAGCTCAGCATTACTGTTGGCATTTTTTTTTTTTGAGATAGATAGAGTGTTGTTCTTTTTTTTTTTTTTTTCTTTTTGAGCACAAGTCTTGCTCGTCACCCAAGCGGCTGGAGTACAGTGGTGCCATCTCAGCTCACTGCAAGCTCCATCTCCTGGGTTCACGTCATTCTCCTGCCTCAGCCTCCCGAGTAGCTGGGACTACAGGTGCCTGCCACCACACCCGGCTAACTTTTTTGAATTTTTAGTAGAGACGGGGTTTCACCGTATTAGCCAGGATAGTCTCGATCTCCTGACCTCGTGATCCACCCACCTCAGCCTCCCAAAGTGCTGGGATTACAGTCATGAGCCACCGCGCCTGGCAGAGTCTTGTTCTTGTCACTCAGGCTGGAATGCAGTGGTGTGATCTTGGCTCGCTGTGACCTCTGCCTCCCGGGTTCAAGCGATTCTCCTGCCTCAGCCTCTGAAGTAGCTGGGATTACAGGTGTAAGCCTCGATGCCTGGCTAATTTTTGTATTTTTATTAGAGACGGGGTTTCATCTTGTTGGCCAGGCTGGTCTTGAACTCCTGACCTCAGGTGAGCCGCCCGCCTCAGCCTCCCGAAGTGCTGGGATTGCAGGCATGGGCCACCACACCCGGTCTGTTACTGTCAACATTTAAGTAGAGTTTAGATCAGAGGTTCTCGGACATGACTGATTACAAGAAATACCTACAGAAATTTTTTTTGTCTTTGAGACAGGGTCTCGTTCTGTCATCTAGGCTGGAGTGCAATGGCATGATCATGGCTCACTGTAGCCTCAAACTCCCAAGCTCAGGCAATCCTCCTGCCTCAGCCTCTCTAGTAGCTAGGACTACAGGTGTGTGCCACCATGCCCAGCTAAGTTTTTTTAATTATTATGTATAGAGATGGGGTCTCCCTGTATTGCCCAGGCTGGCCTCAAACTCCTGGCCTCAAGGCATTCTTCTGCCCCAGCCTTCCAAAGTGCTGGGATTACAGGTATGAGCCACTGCACTGGCTGAAATTTTTTTTAAATACAGAATCCCAGGTCCCACTTCAGACCCAATGAATAAAAACCTCTGGGAGGTGTTGATTTCTAAAGCTCCCTAGAAGTTCCTGATGCAACCAACCCATAGAATGACATTAGGTTTCCAATGGGCTACACTACTGATTGTACTTTTCCCAGGACACAATGAAAGGGATTGCTTCACTGAGGGGAAATCCAGGTTGAATGGTCTGCCTTTACAGTTTATTCCACTCCTTTCTTTCTCCTCTACTTAAACCTGAAGGCTGTCAATGTTGCCTACTGCTTACACTCTCTTTTTGTCCCACTATGGCACTTAGGGCTCAGCAACCTGACGCCCCGAGGGAGCAATCTAAGATTCCTGCCAGAAAGTCTAGAAATGACCACAATGGATGTCCATGTGAATCCCGCTCATTGCACCTCCACCGACATGAAGCTCACACCATCTCTTAATTTTCCCACTAGCACAGATGGGCTGCTCACTCTTCATGTTCCAATGCTGTCTTGCCTCATTTATAATGACTTCATGTTAGTCAAAATAAATGTTTTTTCACTTCTGCCCTTATAGCAAAAGTAAAAGCCAGATGAACATCGCATCTTTGCTGGACAATACTTCAATACATTTGTAGCTGCAGTTGGCCTCGGTGGACTCTATTGTAGAGTGCAGCTTATGTCACTGATTTTGAAACATCTTTATGGTCAGTGAAAAGATCAAGCATTACCTCCAGTGATGGTAAGATCCAAAGAGCCAGTTCCAGTAACATCCATGAGTATGACTCATACGTCTGATCAGTTGATTTATAACAAATCTCCCTTGCATGTATCTTGATAAAAGCAGACCTTTCG